TTCCAGCGCTGGTGCACTGTCTACACTGCCACTTCACAGCGCTGAAACTTGCATCGCTCGGGGTGTGTGTGTGTGTTATTTCACACGCCTGAGCGAGAAAGGTTCAGCGCTGTAAAATGGCCGTGTAGACAAGGCCTTTGTCATGCAGTCCATGGACAAAGTGCTACGAATACATTGGGGCAAATTCTCCTTTCAGTTACACAAATACAACTCCATTGGGTTGGTGTGTTCTCTATGGAATCAACTGTTACAATTGTGGTAGCTCCAGAAATTATACTCCTGTCAGCTGAACACAGCACAACATAGTAAGAAGTTATCTGTTGTTTAAGTCTCTGTGCAGGGTTGTGGAGGAAATTTTTTAAAACCTATACCTAGTGGGGTGACTTTTCCCACAAAAGGTTGAGTATAAGTCTTCTGTGCACATGTGAGCAGCGATGGCATCTATCATTTGTTTATTTAGTGGGACGTCTCAATGGTAAATAGGAAAATTGAAGAGTATATAAATCTCTTGATGTCACATGGGTTTTTAAACACACTCTCTCTCTCTCTCTCTGATTTAAGGCCCACAGAAATCAATCAGTCAGTCTGTTGACTTCAGTGGGCTTTGGATTAATGTCCCATACTACTAACAATGTGAAACCTTTTCATTTGTCTTTTGCCTGTTTACAGTATGCTGGTATCAGTGAAGCAGGCTGTACATCGTTTAGCCACCATCTGAATCCCGAAAAATCTTGTGAATCTTCTGAGCTTAATGTGATCATTCCGCTGTGGCTTTTTGATGCCCTTCATCTGAACAATTCAACATCGGCAAAACACATAAACGGGGCTTCCCTTCCTGCCGCCCTGTCTTAACTGCAAATTGATGAGGACTTAAAACATGAGCTCAACTTTTTTTTAATGCCAAAAAATTGAGAAAAATATGTGGTGAATTATATTGACATTCCGGAGAAGGGTTGAGGATATGGCAAAGATGCCACAGATGGTCTGATCCTTATTCTAAATAATGGAAAAATATCCACTTCTGTTTGTCTACCTAGGCACCCATATGGCCCTTATTACTGTAATGTCTTTGCAAGTGCCAGATCTCACAACCAAATGGCTAAAAATTTCCAAAGGTCTGATTGCAAATAACTTTACACAAATATAAGACCGGGGTACATTTTTCAAAAGTGCATAAATGACTTAAGCCCCTAACTCCCATTTTCAAAAGGGACTTAGACCCAGAGCCTCAAAGGTATTGAAATATCAATGGGAATTAGTTGTCTAAATACCTTTTAAAAGTCTGGGCTTTAGGCAGGGGAGTGGTTCCTACCAAGCAACGTCCCATGGATTACTGCGGGCTCAGTGATGTCCAGATACTGAACTCCACGTGCTTTGAGATAACCGAGCAGGGAACTGCTCCCTTGGCACCCTGAGACCTATGATGAGCTGCAATGACTTTGAATCTGGCCAGACATCTGTACTCTCTCAAAAGTACCTCAGGGGCGAAGGGGAAAGGGAAGAGAAGGAGGAGGAGTGAGAGAGCAGAGACCTGACCACAAAGTATACTTTTCAAATGAGAGTTTTTTCCACATGGGTTAGCAGGGCTGAACCTGGAACTATTTACCCACCTTTCTCTCCCTACACACATAAAAAGGCACATCCCCCCACCCCTCCGGAGTTTAAGAGATTTGGATGAAATGGGCCCCTGGTCCCAAATACCCTTGGTTTTGATATTGAAAAAACAGAGCTGGACTGATGTGACTTTAGAGAACTCACAATCATGCCCATTTTTGACTCATCTGTTATAGCGATTGGCCCAAGTTACACCACTGCAATTTGGGGTGTGTTTGGAGCCAAAGTGCCTGGTCTCCCACTCCCGAATATAAGTCATGTTTATTGACATCAATGTGATGTGAGTATTGAGATTTTCCCAGGGTTATGGTTTGGGCCATTATATGGTCTGGGGCCACTTGCAGTATTTGGATTGGATCAAGGCTCAGATTTCAAACATCTCCAAAGTCTTGGGGTCTTTGGATACAGACTGCCAGTGTGGTGCAATCTCGAGGATGAAGGAACCTTGGGTTCTGAGTTAAAGAAGGTTTGTATCTAGCTATCCCAACAAGCTCACCTGTCCCTACTGCTTATCCTTGTTAAGGAGGAACGTTATTTTGACACTTACGGAGAAGATATTCTGAGCTGTCATGGTCATAGTCATTGTCCTCAGGGAAGTGGTTGATTCGGAAGCAATGTCCTTTGTAGATTCCTAAACAAGAACAAAACAAACAAGACATTAAAACACACACACAGAAAAAGGACCTTTATAAATGGTCGTCTGCTTGTTCTGCTCCATTTTCCCCCCTCGTGAGGCAGTTATTCTCCTGTAGGGTTTGGTCTTCAATTTCCTCACATCAACAAGATAATCTAGACACCCGTCTCACAGTGAGCATCATGTCGACCCAGGGATCCATCCACAACGTGCAGGAGCAGGGCCCAACGGTGCAGATCAGTCTCTGTGTTTCTATTATTCATTAACCAGTGCTCTCACACTCGGGAATAAAATTCATCCAGGGTGAGTTATCTACTGCACAGAAGGGTTTGGTGTTGACCGAACAAAGATTTGAAAATCATCAGTTAATACCATTTTAGCAGGAGCGCAGCTGCACCTTCTTGGATATGGCTGTGGATTTACTTTACTCATAATAAGGATTTTCTAGAAAAGAATGACTAAGCTGGGGGATTTCTGCTGTGCTCTGTGGCTCTCAACGGCAGGTCTTGCTACTACACAGTTCATTGAATTCATTCCCAGGATAAAGTGGCACGGCTACTTTATTTGTGATAACTGCTTGGGAATATTCTCTGTAATTCATTTCAATGGCCCTAAACAACAGCTAAGTAGCTCATCCTGTGTGCGTAAATGACCCGTCTGAATTGTCTGCAAGATGAGGCACAGCAGTTCAGTTGCGAATTAGTATCTGCTAAGCATATTTTGCGGTACCGCCCTTTGTTTGCTCTAGACTGGTTTGCTGCTCTTTTATGGCTCTTAAATGAGGCAATCTGTCCAAAATATAGTTTTTAACCACCTTAAAGCTTATTTTTATAGCAGTTCATGAAATGAAAATGTCTCTCTCCCAACACAACATACTGTCTGAGCATCTGAAATTGGGGTGGTTATTTCTTTGAGATGCTTGGTTGTGTCCGGATGCCAATTTCCGTATTCAGACATAATTTTTCCTCCCATTCATTTTTTTAAAAGCTATGTGTAGGAGAGGCATGTTTTGTTCTAAGTCAACATTTTCCAAAAGTTGCGACTCCCGACACAGTTAATGACGCATTGCCCCTTGTTGCAAACAGGAAATAACTCTGATATTATAGAGAGTATGATGTGGTAAGTATTCATAAATGCTGGCTTTTTAATGGCAACATCTGTATGGCAGACTATGTAATTCAGGCGATTCACAATGAGTTATGGAGCTGTTCACTGCTCAGTCAGGGATTCGAACGCAGCCCAAGTTGTTATAATCTGTCAGCTGTTTTTTAGCTTATGTGAAGCCACCCGGTGATCTCCGTTTTGTTCCTGGAAGACCAGTGTCTCCATAACAAATCCTGATTTTTCAGATGAGGCCATTTTTGAGCAGAGAAGCCAAGAACTGGATGGATATCGAGACTTGGACTTCGATCTCATCCTTAGAGGGGCTCCCTTTCATGTAGGAGTTGAAACACATTGACAAGGCAATATGGGAAAATATTGCACTGCTGCTGCCCATGCTGTTCCCGTTCCATGGGTAGCTCCTTTCATTTTCCAGTGCCGTGCATCTGGAACATTTCAACACCAATACATTCACATGAAAGAATACAAACATGTAGGATACACATGATGAAGCTATGCATTGAAAATGGCCCCAAGCCAGACATTTCTAGAATACATCTAGATTTCAAATCCCCTTCCAACTTTCACGGGTGTTGGGATCTGGGGTTTCTGTTCGGTTAGTTATAGAAAGAATAGGAACCTGTGTCATTTGGATCTGAATCAAAGTCTGGATTCCAAAACTTCTCTCCCAATAAGTTTGATGTGGTTCAGATCAAGGGTTTGGGTTCTGGCTCTTGTCTAACATCTGGTATTTGACGGCGAGTAACAGCAACAGGCTAGGTACATTTGTTATGTAAACAAGTGTAATGTAATGTAGCTCAGTGGGAACTTACGAAAATCTCCATGTGGCTCAACCTCACTGTCAAGAACTCCAGTGATATAATAGTTATTACCCAAATTGTTGTTTTTTGACCACATAAACTGCAATAGCCTGCAATAACAAAGGTCGTGTCAGAACTGACCCAAAAACGCAGCCAATATTTTTTCATGGGACTAAACTTCGAAATCAGACTGGTGCAAAATTCAGAGCCGCTTACGTGGAGACTGTAGAAAAATGGTCAGCCAGGAAATTGTGGTGAGCATAAGAGCATCTCTTTGCTTATTAGCACAGCTGCAGAGTCTTCTCTTTGCTTGAACTAATTAAAATAAAAATAACGTAATGAAGGACTGTACCAAAACTGAGTTTGAACAAAATATGCAGCACTTCCCCCAGCAAGCGGTAATGGCCTACAGAAAGGTCAAAAGCTGTGAAATGTAAAAGAAGACAGAGGATTCCAGTACAATGTCTAATATTATAATTCAACGGCCTATTGTCTCAAGTATCTACATAAAATACCAATATCTTTTTTAAAGTTTCCCACAGTACTTGACAAGGAATGATACAGTGGCAGTTAGATACTGATCAGTGTGTAAGCAAATGTGGCCACATTATATCAGTAATAGCCATGGGGATAGTCTTCTACTTTAGAACCTTATTTTATTCTGAGCTACTGTGTCTGCCAGAACACCAGGGATGTCTCTTACCCCCTTTAGAAAGGGATATGGACTATTTTACGTCTACTCTGGCTTCCACCAGAGATGAGCATAAACCAATGTCACTGCCTAGCAGTCCACCTCCTCATTGAGAAGCGCTTTTGGACACCTTCTGAGGCCAATGTGCAATACACCACTAAGCCAGCAGGACTATTCCTCCCCCGAAAGGAGCACTGATATATGATATATATTAATGGGTACCTTCGAAATTGGTCACTTCTCGATAATGAACCTTGCTCAACCAAATAATTTCAATAAGAATTTGAGCAAGGTTTTGGTCCAATAATAATGAATAGCCCCCTTTATGATGTAGTAGTGATATAGTCAGAGGCAGACTGATCCAGGAACTAGGGGTCTAACCAGCAACCTGGGTTCAGATTTCACTGCAGACTTCCTGTGTGACCTTGGACAAGCCGCTCACTCTGTGTCTCAGTTCCCATCTGTAAAATAGGGATAATAGCACTTGCCTACATCACAGGAGTTTTGTGAGGATAAACACATTACAAGACTGTGAGCTGAGCAGATACCATGGTTATAGGGGCCAGTCAAGTACCTAAGTTAATAGTATTTTGCTAAAGTTATTTTAACTACCTAAAAATGTAGGAGTTCCAACACCAGATCAGATTTGTGGTTCCATGTAGCCTGACTCTAGAAATGGGCAATACACAATGGTTCAGAGGAGAGCAACTATCCTTCTTCCCTGGGGTAGTACCTGCTTCCCTCTCCTGTCCTTCAAATAATCCTCCCATACGATACATCTATCCAACTGTGCAAAAGTGTTCAGAGGGGTTAACATTTCTTCCCGACCACTGAAAGCAATGACCTACTGCCTTGAAACATAAGATCTGACTAACCTTATATGTTAACATTCATAGCAAAACCATATCACGATTGGTCATACAGTTATCCATCACTTTCAAACGGAGTATTTGACTAGCTTAGCAATCATGCCATGGTAATATTCTGGGCTTTCTAGTTAAAGGTGTGCCTGAGCAGTGATGTTCAGTTCCAGATCTGAACTTTCCTAAGGAAGGAAGGGCGTATAGATTCAAGCTTTCAATTCAGGCCCATAAGAGTAGGGTTACCATACGTCCGGATTTTCCCGGACATGTCCGGCTTTTTGGGACTCAAATCCCCGTCTGGGGGGGAAATCCCCAAAAGCCGAACATGTCCGGGAAAATCCGGCGCCGCTGTGCCGGGGGCTGGCCTGGGGCCGGGGGCTGGCGGTGCTGGGCGGGCCGGGGTGCTCGGCTGGGGGTCTGGGGGCCGGGCCCGGGTGCTCAGCCAGGGCCGGGACCGGCAGTGCTGGGCGGGCAGGGGGTGGTCGGCCGGGGGGCCGGGCCGGGGGTGCTCGG